CTTTCCATCGTCTTCTGAGATACCAACACATGTCTGCAAATGACAAAGACAAGGTCCGTGGTCTGGGACTGTGCAACCATATAACTTGTCAATGCCTCTATTGCCTGAGGGAAAAGTAAGAATAACCAGGGTCTCACCTGAGGTGCTGTTGTAATGTGAAGTAGTATATAGCATTTTACCTCCTCACTATCAGCTATGTGAGGAAAAGGACTGGGGTGGGAGGTAGGGAAGAGGATAGTGCACTCTCAAGAACAGAACAGAACAGAGCACAGCCCTATTACATAAAAATATGTCATCAGACAAACCTTTGAAAGTGTAACCAATGTTAATTCCAAAGGGAGCATTAACAGAATGAAGGTCATTCCCAATCATCTACCTTGTCTTGAATTCACCAGGTTTCACCATCCCCCAGTCTAGAAAGACATCTCCATGTCTGAGACCTCAGAGCTCCCTCTGCTCTAGGGGCCTCCTGGCAGAGTCTTCTGTGGTGGGGGGCAGGGATTCCCCACTTTCTATCCCAGGCATCACCTCTTTGTGAATTCAACTCAGCACAGTTCAAGAGAGCTCACAACAATGACCACAGCCACACTTACAGATGTTATTAAAAGGAATTTAATAATCTTAATTAAAAACTCAACAGCGAATTCCGTCACAGGCCTTGGCAGCTGGAAGCAACTCCAGGGGCATGCCCCTTTGAGATGTGGTTGGGCCATGGTCTTGGACACAAGGCCCACCACTGCCGGATGGTGAGGAGCTACCTGAAAGTTACTTCAATACAATATCAAAGATCCTTGAGGATATTTTTTTTAAAAAAGTTTTAAATATATTAGACTCTCTTGATTGCCATTTTTTACACAAAGCTGCTGATACAGTATACAGAGTTTTAACTTTTTTTTCACATAAAATACATTTTTCTTAATTGTTCTCTGTACATCAGTGGCTTCTGGTCTGGTGAATTATTGCGGAGGGCTGGGGATCTTCAGACATTTCCTGGGTGTGCAGAGCCAGGCTCTGCACTATGGCACTTGCATGCCCATGGGAAGCAGGTCCTCTGGCCAACTGGCCAGCAAGAGATTCCTATCAAGGAGAGGGCTATAGCTTTTAGCAAAGGGATCACTTCTATGGAGTTATCCACTGACCACATGACCCTTTGCTCTTATGTGCCCTGGGGGTGGGGAGGCTGTCCCCAGGCTACAATAGCCAGAGTTAAATATAGTCCTTCTGAGCATCTTACAAGGAGCGCCTTCTGGGAAAGCAAATGGAAGAGAGAGCTCAAGATCAAAAAGTATCTGACACCGAGAACCCAAATAGTCTTAAGTTACTACAAAGCCAACAAACTGTGGTGAGATAGGACAGGGGACATACCCTCGTTAACTTTCTAAACCCATTTAAGTTGATCAAACAGTGCAGAGCAGTTTCATTGATGCTGCATATCTGACGGAGAACTACATCCTGAAGTCTTTAGTAGACTTGAGTCTAGGGTTCATTCAGCTTCCCTGAGTTACTGGCCAGAAACTCACCAATTTTCAGTAGTCTGGGGCTTAGGGTGGGGTGAGAGCAAGGGCCAGAGCTCACAGTGAGCCACATGGCACCCGCTTTAGAAGTAGCCTCCTTCAATCTGCCAGGAGCTGCCACTAGACCTGGGTCTCAGCAAGAGCTGGGCATCTGGTCAACCTTGCCAGCATTCTTCCAGCTCCTTGATCCACACTGGCCCAAAAGAGAGGCAATTCATGAGGAAAAGCTTCGATGTTAAAGGAGAAGCTCTTTTTTCTTCCCATTATCCATTGGTGGAGCAGGAAGGTTGCATAATAAATAGCAAAAATGAGTAAGAGACAATGAGTTTTAAAACCTGAGACGCATTTGGCAGCAAATTCCAGAATCTTTATTCTTCTAGACACTGACCTCAAACTGCTATTATATAGTGCCTCAAAGATGTTGGCCTGAAGGTAGCTAGGAACCCTGAGAGCTCCATATAGACTTGGGATGGTGTCTGCCTGGAACCCAAGATCCAGCATCTGCATTTAGTGGCAAATGTCATCTAGGGATATTGGACCAGGATGCAGTCACTCTATCTCAGATTAATTGAATGGGCTGCTGCTGACACCCATGGTCCTCGAGGGTTGAAAACCATAAAGAGCAGTCTCCTCATTCTATCTTGTCCCTCCTTAACTCCCAGAACCTAACATAGTGCCTGGTATGTCACAACTACTCAATAAACTACATGAGTGAATAAATGGATGACCTTGGCCCCAGCTTGTCCTTCAACACCCAAGAGACCTACAGGAAAAGTACCCCAGGTACTTGGAAGCCCCAATAGGGAATGGTTTATCCCTGATTGAAAATATGAGCTTGTGCTCAAGAGTCTTTAGTTGTCTCCTGTTGGGGAATCGGTGGGATTCCCAGCCTTCTGGGTAGAGAGGAACAGCCCAGGAGGCAGGAAGCAAGGAGGGAGGAGGGAATGGCCAGAGGGCTTAGAGTGGGCAATAAACGGCTCCAGTCTCTGTGCCCTGAGCAAACAGATCAAAAAACCTGCCCAGCTCTCTCTGGAGGAGTATGTGGCTTCTCTCGGCACTCCCCAACTCACAGCTTAAGCTGGCTCAAAAGGAATTTCAGTGTTAGTCTGATCTGAACACTGTTTTAAGGTATATCCCTGCCCTGCTCCAGCCATAGGCTGAGATGATGGAGAGCCCGCTCCAGACCTCAGGGACATAGGAGGCATCACACAAACGCCTGCAGTCTCCTGACCTGCCCCTCCACCCAAGACTGGAACTGTCCTGGAATTGGGGTAGGGGGCCTGGTGCTGTGACCCTCCCTGCATACAAGAGCCACCAGGGGTACAATGACTCTCCTGAGCCCTGTGCTCTCCTGCCCAGCTGCCCTACTCCTGGGAAAGCATCAGCCAGGCCCCCTGGGAGCCAGCTCCCTCTCTGGGTTAGGGGAGTGGGCGGGGACCACAGTGGGGACTGGAACTTACAAACAGCAGACCCATTACTAAAGCTGTGGCACAAAGGGAACTTCTCCAGCCACACAGTCTCCTGGCCCAGGTGCCCCCAGAGAGAAGTTTTCATAGGCCAGAAAGGAGAGAGTTAAAGGGAACCCAGATATGTCCCCCAAATTGCAGAATCTGGATCTAGGGGGCACCTTCAGAGCTCTAAGGAGGTAGTTTTAGGACAATTAAAAGGTACACGGAGCAGGGAACAAACCTGCTCATTAGTGACACCAATGGGTTTTAGCTGAGCCAGTGGATAGTGCCCAACTCACGGGCAACAATTGAAAGGGGCTCATGAGAGAATGCAGTGGAGAGGTGATGGGCAGCCTGCCCCACTGGTGAATTGAATGGGTGGTCACATGGCTGGCTCCTGGCATGGAACAGGCTCGTGACCAACCTCCTCACCATCACTCTCTCCTGAATGCAGATCAGGGTGTTGGCCATGGGCACTGTGGATTTGCAGCCCCGGGGTGTCACCACTCCAGCAGGAACAGGCTGGGAGTCCCTGGGCCAGGCAGGAACTCACAAGGGCCAACTGGCAAAGTGGGGCCTGGGATCCTGAGCATTCACTCTAGGAGTGGGGACGTGGTGGCAGGCAGCAGCCCCTTGCTGTTCACTCTGATGGCTCAGTCTGATGAGGGCTGGCTGAGAAACTGCCAACATGAACTCGCCCCTCTCCTTGGAAAAGCCCTTTCCACTGAAGCTCCTCACTAAGTTCATTTTTCCAACAAAAGCCCGTAAAACCTAATGATCATAACATTCTCCATAAAAGCAGCCAAATTCAGTTACCTCCTGCCTAGAGTTTTACAGCCTTAAATAGTCCTTTTATGAAACTCACTTTTGGAAATATTGCCTTTGTTATCCCCTCCACTTTTTGATGCTTTCATAAAAACAAAATGTGATCTGGAATATTCCGGGAATAGAATAGCCTGGTTTTCCACCTTGGCCCCTGGGCGTTCACACAACTAGGTCCTGGCATGGACAAGGATGTGGGAGCAGTGCTGTGTC